TTGATTGGTGAAAAGATCAGCATGCATTCTCATTTGGTAAAAAAAAAAAAGTCCACAATTTATTATTGCAAGTCATTTGAGAAAAATTTAGCAAATTTACAAGAAAAAAATAATTAAAATTACTAGAAAAACATGCAAAGTTACAAGATTATGCTAAGGTCCTGGTTTCTGCCACAACCGCATATAAGTGCCATTTAAAGACGTGAAAAAAGTTGGAATTAAAAGTTTTGAGTTTAGAGTGGCATATTTACGGGAATACAAAGGCAGATCGAAGACTAAAAATATCCAAACTTTAAAGTTATAAACATCCACATTTAGAAGAAAACAAGAAGCAAATGTATAAAAATAAATGAGCAAATTTACCAGAAAAAAACATCCTAAGGATGCAAATTTACGAGATTGTAAGCATATACATTTAGAAAACATTTTTGGCAAATTTACAAGAAAAAAAAAAACAACTAGAAAAACATGCAAATTTACTAGATTATAAACATGCAAATGTATTATTTTTACTTCAAAACTTACATGAGGAGGCCATTGTACCATCTTATTCCATCGCTAAAGTCTCCCAATTAATAATGCATTTGCATCTGCTTTGTCGCATACTTTATCGTGTATTATAATTTTGCATTTTTCCTCAAATGTACGTTTAAACATTGCAAAATTTTCTACTTTTTTCTCTTAAATTATTATTTTTTGCCTATTAATTTTCAACCTTTTCTCTTATATTTGTATGTTTTAATTTAATAAGTTTGTGTGTTTATTCTCATAAAAATGCCACTTTAAACTCAAAAATTAAAATTGTTTATTTTTTTTCCATCTTTGAATGGCCCTAAAAAGTTTTCAGTGCATGTGCAGGACAACATTAGATCCAAGGTCCTCATTTAATGGGTGTTGTGGAACAAACTTTGGGTTCAAAAAGGCTGAAACATGAATCTGTTTCTGTGCACCAATGTTACTAATAAGTTACTTTGTGTTACAATGATAACAACCTGACACACATAAACCTGAAGGGATCTTATCTTGATAAAGTTACACTGAGAACCTATTCAAGGACTTCTTGGTTATGGATTTAAGGTAGACTGAAACAAAGAATAACTGTTGCACCTTTCATTTGCCACTGTGGGCTGATACTGTTATTCCATGCTGGTGTCTCAAGGACAGACATGTGCACAAACAGAACAATTATCTAGAACCTTCAGTACATAAATGTAGCTAAATGATTAAAAATATCTGCTCCTCTCAGAATATTTCAGACTATATTCTGTTACATCAATGTAAAAGTTAGCAAACTCAATTATTCAGCTAGTGAACAAATTTCATTTAAAGATCGTGTGCACCTTCCTCCCTATGGGGCATAATGATTTCAGGAAACAACATGATTCATGACTGTGAAATAAATATAAAAAACATGCCCGTTTGTTTTAGATGTGGTGTTCCCTTTTTGGCTAAAGCTTCCACTCTTTTTTTTTTAAGGTTTTAAGGTATAGTGGAGGATTTTACCAGGTGGATCATCAAAATAAGTGGTCCTCCTAACTGTCAATCATTCTGGTTACATGTTTATGTAAGGCTATCCTTTGTGCTCGTCCCCATTTTCACTTACCAGTGGTGAGTCTGATGTAGTGGAAAATTTGTAAGCAAAGTAAGCTTGTGTCAGCGATGCAAACAGCAACTTTTAAACAGTGTGCACGAGAAGAAATGGGCTTATGCATGCAAGCAGGTACAGGGTTGTGCACCTTTATTTTTAAAGGTGGAGAAGGCGGGTCTTTTCAAAAATTTGATAAAATCCTCCACTATACCTTTAATACATGATCCTATGCTTTTTATTGACTAGATTTGATGTTGGAGATCGGCCTGTTTTTCAGTGTAGTCCTGTTTCTCTGACTGTGACTGGCTGGATGTGCTCTCTTCATCCTCTGCATTTTAAATTTTGTACTTTTATACACAGCCAGTAACATTTTGTCTTTCTCTTCATAAAGCTCGCATTAAGGTCATACATCCAAAATAGGCTAGAAATTTTGAAGTGATGCGACATTAAAACATCACTTTAGTAAAAATTCTGATTTGTTGGTTTGGGAGAACAAGGATAATAGCTAGTCAGGAGACAAATGGAAATCAATTATGCAGTTTTATTCTAACCTTTACTTTTACATTAATTATTTGATGGGAAAATCTTCCCTTATCGTTGAGTGGTTCATCACTATTTGGCAGTGCACCATTTTTTAACACATAACTAAGTCTGTGTGAACACCTATTCCTTCCACAGGTAACCAAAATAACTTTTATTTACACTGCTATGATGTTTTTGAGATCAGAGTTTAAAGCCTACTTGGATGTTGATCCATTAAACCACTGATTCCCAAAACTGGGGTCCCAGATCAACAAGCATGGGCTTTTAAAATCCACTATAGAAGTTAAACTAAACAATAAAAATAGTGAAGAAGGGTGTTTGTGTTTAAATATATTAATCCAACACATAATCAAATAAATTGTTTTATATTTTTATCACCTTGTTACCAATGGTTAATATTTTTCTTTTATTTTTGCATTCCATACAATATTTTGCATCATGAGACCATTCCGGTACCATTTTATGGGTCTGAGACCAAAAGGTTTGAGAACCACTGCTCCAGCTAATCTAATCTGGATTAAGACTGAATGAAGACACTAAAAGAGTCATTGTCTACCATCTACTGCAGGTAAAATGCAGTATGCCCTAACTATGACATATTAAAAAGAACCATCATTAAAAAAAATGATTCTTTATTGGAACAGTGGAGGCAGTGTTTTTATTTGAACTTTTTTGCTGTAATCTGCAAATCTACCCATAGATGCTACTAAAACCTACATTGTAAACAAACCACTACTTCAATCTTTATATATATATATATATATATATATATATATATATATATATATATATATATATATATATATATATATATCTCCGTGCAGTGACATGCATTAGAGGCTTAAATGATGCTGATCCATTTCACATTTTCCTCTCAACGCAACCTGTACCCACGCCATCAGTCCACTGCACCACCCAGGTCACCAACAACCGAATATAAGAACGCATTGTCCGGGCTCATGCATTCCACGCTAAAAAGCACAGACAAAATGATAACTACTTACTGAGCACATTCTTTACAGTAGCAGAACCCTAACAGGCCCAACGAGCCTGTTTAAATGTACTGCTCTCGCTTATTCCAGACAGGCAATGCACACTCGCACATTAGCTCCCAGCTTCTGACGTCAAGGCTTTTGATTCGCTGTGTAAACGGCGGTGCGACCGCTCATTGGTTCAGAGCGCAAACATAAAACACGTGATGCGGAAGCACTTCCTAATATGTTGTGTCGAATTTTATATCTTATATATGATATAAAAGAGAATATAACGTGCCTCTATTGTGCCTTTACTAGAAAAAAAAAAATAATAATAATTGTTGCGCATTTTAAGACCAAACCAGCCGTCCGTCTCGAACTTCCAGTAATGACATTATGTGGCAGCGGCTAAATCTGCCAGCTTGTTCAGGTGTAGCTCTTAGAAGATGCCTCTGAAATTAAGGAAGGAGCACATTTGGTGAGTGGCAGTCTTAATTTTGCATAAAAAACACCTTTAGGGGTCGTGTGATAGATACTTGACATTTTAACGCTTAGGTTAGCCGTACAGCATTGGCTAAATCGTATAAAATAAATAGCGCGCATCATACTCCGACTTTTAGCTAATATTCATTTTCGGTCATGTTTAAATGTACTGGTCTCGCTTATTCCAGACACAACACACACTCGCGCATTCGCTCCCAGCTTCTGATGTCACGGCTTTTGATTCGCTGTGTAAACGGCGGCGCGACCGCTCATTGGTTTAGAGGGCAAACGCAAACCACGTGATGCGGAAGCATTTCCCAATATGTTGTGTCAATTTTTATACCTTATATATGATATAAAAGAGAATATAACGCGCCTCGACTGTGCCTTTACTAAAAAATATATATATGTATAATTGTGCCAATTTAAAATAATTGTTGCGCATTATAAGACCAAACCAGCCGTCACGAACGTCCGGAATTAACGGGTAGTATGTGGCAGCGGCTAATTCTGCTAGCTTGTTCAGGTGTAGCTGTTAGAAGATGCCTCTGAAATTAAGGAAGGAGCACATTTGGTGAGTGGCAGTCTTAATTTTACATAAAAAACACCTTTAGGGATCGGGTAATAGATACTTGACATTTTTAACGCATAGGTTGTCCGTACAGCGTTGGATAAATTGTATAAAATAAATAGCGCGCGCCATACTCCCACTTTTAGCTAGTAGTCGTTTTGCTTCTCTGTCAGTTTCCTCTTACAATGACGCTCAATTTTTGACCGTAATGGTTTCGTGAAATGTCAAAGAAAATGTGATAATGTCCTTGAGGCCACGAGATATTGTTCGTTTTGTAAATAAGAGGGTTAAAGTTTCCCGGTGTGACATTGAATTCTGTCCCTCATCATAAGTAAATCTCAATGACTTGGCCATTTTTCCCACCGTTATTTCAAGTCCGTTTTAATGAAATTACAGTATTTGACGAAAGATTAGATTATTGTATAAATGGATGTAAAGGGATGAGGATGAGACCGAAGAAGCTATGGTCTCAAATCTTTTTCTAAAATTTGGTTACAGTAAAAAACAAAACACTTGTCAATATTTATTCAAAGACAAAAGGTGTTTTAATTTTTTAAAACGGTTTTCTTAAATTGCATCTACAGAATTACATTTTGTCATTTGACTAAACCCATTGATTTCTTACTCAGCTGTTTGTTGCATATTTGCTGTTGTGTTGTAATATTGTACTTCAGTATCAGGAAGTTATTCTGCTTTCAGACAGATGTACTCATAAATACTTAAAGGCACAACTACCCAGGTTATGTAGCATAAAACAAAGTATGGGAGTGATGGCCTGGTGGTTAGAGCAGTGCTTGTGCTCTGAGAAGGTTGCAAGTACAGCGGCGGAGCTAGATGGGGGCCCAGGGGTGGCCTTGGCTACCCTAAGCCAATCACTGGCCACCCCCAACCCCTTAATCAGCATTGAGAACGCCAAGGTCACGTCCTCTGTATTTTCCCGTTTAAAAAAAAAAAAAAAAAAAAAAATCTTAATTCAGAGAAATGTCAAACTATATGATGACAATTGTTCTGACTTTGATTGGTGTAAAGATCAGCGTGCATTCTCATTTGTTAAAAAAAAAAAATAAAGTCCACAATATATTATTGCAAGTCATTTGATTCATTTAGTGGGCCATGCACATGCATGGTGATGATGGTGACAATAATAATAGTAGTAATAATAATTCAATATTAATAATAACAAAAACAACAATGATACAGTATAAGGATGATGATAATAATAATAACACTCACTCAAATACTCTACTTTTGTGAGTTTTGGAATTTTAATAATATATTTAACTCTCTTTATTCACTATTCCAATAATGTATTTTAAAAAGTCACCATATTAGGATTTTTTTTTGTCAAGTAAGATTTATCGCAATATTTGACCTTGGTATTTCAAAAATCCTGGTTACGTCCCTGGCCACCCCTACCACTTTTTCATATATTAACATTTACTTGCCACTAAAGACAGTGTGGTTAATTATGTACATAAATATACTGATTATTGATCAAAAACAAGTAATGACAATGGAAAAGATGTTTGCCCCAGAACTTAAACCTGAAAGAATTGTATCCACTATATATGCATCTATTTGTTAGCAAAGGCTGTAGGAAAGGATAGTTTGTCTTCATTTAGAAAATATGGATGTTGTGCTCATTCATTTTCCTGTTGGAACAGTGTAGCTTCACCCTGAGGGTCTGTAGCCTATCCACTTCCAGCCACCCTTCAACGTTCATTGGTTATTGCCTGGCCACCCTTATAAAATTTTTCAGGCTACGCCTCTGTACCCGGCTTGATCCCCACAGCCTCCACTCTGGGTGCCTGAGCTAAACCCTTAACCCCACACTGCTCTAAGGGCGCCGCACAATGGCAGCCCAATGCTCCCCAAGGGGATGGGTCAAATGCAGAGATTGAATTTCCCCATTGTGGGAAAATAAAGGGATTTACATACAAGAAAAGTCCACATTATAATCCCTCCACTACTTCACTTCATAGGGCAAGTTACCATTGATTGCTTGCACATTCCTTACAAATAGAGTCCCCTACATCCCTCAGTTAGTTCTAGAAGCACAAGATCTATAACCAGCCATTCAGCAAAGATACAGCTACATGGCTGTACATCTTATTTTGGCATTTGACCAATTAGATGAGCATTGAATGATATATTACCTACTGCAAATTAAGTTGAATTAAAAAAAAAAAGTTTAAAAAGGTAAAAAGTTAATTAAAAAGTCAAGGAAAAAGGGTAAAAAGCTAATAAAAAAATTAAAAAGCTAACTGAAAGGTTAAAAAGTAAAGTTAAAAAGCTAATAAGCCTAGTTAACAAATATATTTAGGTTTATAAACTAAAAAAATTTAAGTGCCATTATCAGCTTTAATGCCTCTAAGGTTATATTGTACCAAAAAAATTTATTTCTTTCACTCTCAGACTGTTTTTCACTAATTTCTTGTAGTATCACTTATTTTTTATTTTTCGTAATACATTCGGCCAAGTTGGCGTTTCTTGTTATTACATTGACATTCATATTTGCCGTCAA